AGAAAAAAACCCTGCATCCTCATTTTATCCCTTCCACACTCCCACTAATGCCGAACAATATCCAGCCCAGGCCCCACCACACTCTTTTCTCTGCATCAAACAGGAGCAAGGACAGGGGGAAGCTTGCTGCAAGCAAGAGAGACTAGGGAGCGGCCCGCCCTTCTTGCCCCATGCTAGTGTACACCACTACCCTACAGGTCTACCCAGGCAGGCCTCATTCTCACACCGACCTGCACTGATCTGGAGCAATTTTCTCCTTCCTTGCTTCCAACTTGACAAGCTCTACAGCAGATCCACAGGCAGACCTATGGGCAAAAATACACGAGGGACTGGAATTTTGAGTATTTGGTAGACAGATCTGCCCTCCGGTCTCTCAATCCAACATCTGCCTTTCCAAACCTAGGGCGCTGGTTCTGTAATATATCCGACCTCCTTGGTCCCTCTTTGCATCACTTCCCTCCCCATTTCCCACCCCAATATCTACCAGTCACCCTATAGACACAATCTTGGCTCACCCACCCCATTTCCGGCACACAATGTGTGAGGGCAGAGGTGTCGGGAAAGCTGGAAGACAATGGGTCCAAGATAAGACCTGGTCTCACCTGATTGCCAACAGCCAACCCCCACCCCTAGTCAACAGGGGTGCTCATATTCATACCCACCTTGGTCCAAATTAATAGTTTGTCTTCTTTCTTAACTTCCAAGAGAACAGCTACCTACAGAAATCTATAGGAAAGGCACAGACCTATTGCTAGACAGAAAGACAGGGCAGAAAAAAAGAAAAACAGAGGGATTAGCAGATGGCCCAATACCCGTGACAGGGATTATAACATTTGCTTTTATACATTCAAGGCCATGCTTAATGCCTACCACCTGTCTGCGTCTCCTCCAAAGATTCCCCAGCCATCTCGCCCCAGACATACAGCCTGTCTGAATGCCCCTCCCCCCAACTCTGAAGTCAGCCATTTTCCAGCAGAGAGCACACCTCTTTCCTTGACAAAAACATGAGGCACAGGAGTCGGTAGTAGAACACGGGCAACTGTATTTCGAAAGCATGCAGCAAAGATAGTGGGAACTATTATTTCAGTAATATCGTTATGGGCCCCCTCCCCTTCCCCATGTACTTCATACCTAGATCCTACCTCATTCACCTATGCCAGCCTGCCCACACAGCAGGGGTCCTCAGGAGATGTTAACCTTCCTACCAAAGGAGAGTCCTCCTCCTGGAGAAGTGTCACACCCTACAGAAGGATGGAGGGGCATTCAGCAAAACAGCAAGAGAATATGTTGACAACGGTAGAAAAATATCAGTTTAATGCACAGATTTCCAGAATTCAGCTTCCAACACTTCCTTTTCCAGAATCAGGGATTAAATTAAACATCTTAAATTCTCATAGCTCCTCAGACCTCCACTCTCCGGAACTCTATGAAGCCTTCTGTGGCATTACTTCTGTGCCAAAATGAAAGGGGCTATGAGGGGTGGGTGGAGACAGAGTGTGCATTTCCAGAACCAGAAACTGGATCGGATTGACTCAAATATTATCAATTGGCCCCTCAGAAAGCTTTTCCCTCCACTCTGAGCCCCCATTCCTGTACCTCAGTGTACTACAAGTGGGCCGGCATGTTAAGAAAATACATCCCAAGCAAGGAGAGTGGACTGACACCACACTGTTTATTTATATGGACCCTTTCTGTGAAAGCCCACCCACTCCTCACCCTGTCCACTTGCTTGGGCTGACTGGCTGTTGTTGTCAGTTGCCCTCCAGTGATTCCAACTCATGGCTATCCCATGTGTTGCAGAGTAGAACTGCTCCATACGGGTTTCAAGGCTGTGACGTTTCAGAAGCAGATCTTGGTGGGTTCTAACAGATAACCTTTCGGTTGAGAGGCATGGATTGATTTTCATAATATGATGTTTACTGACAAAATGCAGTTTAAAAAATTATAAGGATTTCATTTCATTGCTATCCTTATACATACAAGGTGACAGCTGAATAGTAAAATTTCTGAAAACAATATAAACAGTAAAACCAGTGAAAGGTGCAAACCTGTCAGAGAAGGATCTCAAATATTTTCCAATAAAATGAGAGATAGAAAAGTGGTAAGACTGCACCCTGACAAAGCAGAAAACTTGTGACACCGGATAAACAAGGCACACCTGTCAGGTTTCGGCTATCACAGGTTTCACTGTATATTCAACTCTTAGCTTTTAACCTCATTCTCTGATGTTACACTAGCAGGGAGAGCAAGAGGATAAGAAAGCCCATGAAACAGAGAGAAAAGAAAGAGGAGGGAAAGCACATGAAATGGAAGGGGAAGGGTGATGACTCTCTTGGCCTGTCCCCACTCAGTGAACTGGAAGCTGTGCAGGAGGCTCTTCCTATTCCCCGGCTCCATCAGACAACCCCCTCCAGCACACAGCAGTGACTCTGAAGCTCACGCACAGTGAAATGTGGGTTTATCCCTGCTCGCTGGTACATTCCATCTATGCTCTCTGCTAGCTACGCTATTGTGCTAACGTCAGAGGCATGGCGTTCACAGAACCAAGGAGGCAAAGGTGGAATGGGGAACCAACATTTGCTGAGGCCTATAGATGCCACACGCTATAGGGTTTTATTTTCAGACTTTTCCTCTTTAAATCCTCAAAGCAATGCTCTGGGGCAGGCATCATTACTTCTCTTACAGATGGGGAAACAGGCTCAGGGAGCAAAGTACCTGCTCAAAGAACTCTAGGAGGTGTCAAATGGACACAGAAGCCAACTTGAAGGGGCTTTCACTGGCCACTTCTGGGGCAAAATGAGCATCAAAATAAACAATAATAGTAACAGATGGTAAACCTTTGAGCAAAATAGGAACCTATGAGTCTTACTGATATAAATAAATACATAAATGAATAGACAGACTGATGGATAGACAAGGAAGAAGGGAAAGCTATACTCTACAGTGGAATGCTAATTAGTAAATCTAGAATGAATTAGAAAAGCAACATCTGACAACTGTCATAGTAATAAGTGGTTCAGGCAAGAATCATAAATGGAGGCTTAGTCCGCAACAAATCTCACAGCAGTCATCGTGCCCCCATGGTAGCTAAGATGGCCATGTAAACCCAGGAAAAACAAACAAGCCTTACTTGGTTCCTAATATGGGCTAGGAACTCAGTGGGCCCGACATGATACCTATTAACTATCTAAATAATTCCTCACAATAAACACTCCTGGTAGCTGCAGCGACACACAGACACACACACATGTGCGCGCGTACACATACATGGTCTCTCTCATCCTCTCTCCTGCTGCAGAGATACGCACACATAAATGCACACATGCTCTCTCTCGTTCTCTGTCTCTCCCCACCCAAGACCCTCTCTCATCGCCCCTGCCTGTGGATGGAAAGCACCTGCAGGGCACCCCTGCAGCAGAACACCATGCTCACTCAGGCAAGGCGGGACCACGACGGCCCGTCTCTCTCCCTGACGAGACAGCGGGGCACCGAGTCCCAAAGCGGGAAATCGCCCCTTGGCTCTGGGACCCCTTTATCTCCCCACACCCAGGGCGTGAGCACCCATACCTACCGCTCAATCCCAAACACCTGAAGGAAGGCAGGAATCTGCTCCTTCTGGTGGGACACGTCTGTGTCTATTGAAAAGTCGTCAGGATCGCCAGCTTGACGTCAGGTTTCTATGGCAACCTCGAAGCGCTGGCTGCTCTGGACACCGGAAACGCCTACGCACAGCCATTACCAGGCTTGCTTTTCCTGAATGCAGACCACCTGTGCCCTTCAGAGCTCTTAGTATTATTTCCTACAACTGCATATGAATCTACAATTTTCTCAAAGTAAAATTTTTAATTATGTGAATAAAAAAAGAATATTGCATAGACAGAATAAAAAAATGAAATTTTGCTGTTAGGATATTAAAATCATGGCAAATAATTTTTCATTTATTTCTAAAAATTCCTTCAATATTTATTATTTCACAAAGGAAGTGTCAAATACTGGCTGTTATAGAGTATTTTATATATGACAATCTCTCCTACTGTGAGTTCACTTGAAGAATACAGTAACTGAAATTAATAGCTGATTGAGTTTAGCAGTAGCATAGACACAGAACAAGAGAGGATTAGTAAACTTGAAGAAGAATTAGAAAAATATTCAGAATGAGGCACAGAGAGAAAAAAGAATGGAAATACAGACAAGAGTATAAGGGCCAAGGTGACACATTCAGACGTGGGTAATTTGATTCACAGAAGACAGAGAGAGAGACAGACAGAGAAAAGAGAAAGAGGGAGAGCGAGGCAAAAAATCGAATGAGGAAGAAGCAATATTTGAAAAGATAATAAATGAGAGTTTTCCCAAACTGATGAAAAACATCAAGCCACATATTCAAGAAGTTCTATGAAACCTAAATAGGATAAACACACACACACACATCTAGGCACATGATAGTAAAACTACTAAAAAACAAATCAAAAACAAAATATTGAGAGCAAATGGTCAGCAATTAGTTTAAAACAATGATGAGAATGTAAGGGCTCAGGGAAACTAGATTAGTGGAAATGAAACAACCAGAAAGGAAATAATGAGAACATTCACGCATTGCAAAGAATGTAACTAGTGTCACTGAATGACTTGTGTAGAAATTGTTGAATGGGAACATAAACTGCTGTGTAAACCTTCACCAAAACACAGTAAAATAATATTTAAAAATAAAAGAAAATATTAAAATCAGCCCCTGTCAAAAAGTTCCATCACTGTCAAAGAAGAACCAATACAACTGATAACTCACTTTTCAACAAAAACAATGGAGGTCAGAAGACAATAGAATGACATTATTAAGTGGTGAGAAGAAATGAGCACCAACATAGAATTCTATGCTAAGCAAAAATAATCTTCACATACAAAGGGAAATAAAAGATTTTCAGACAAACAAAAAAAGAATTCATGTCTGGCTGATCCACATCAAGACAGAAGTTGTTAAAACAGAATAAAAATGATCCTAAACAGAAATAGAGTAATACAGGAATGGATGAAGATAGGTGCAGAAGTTAGAAGTGTGGGTAAATTTAAATAAATATTGACCATGAAGTATTAATAATAATTTCTTTGGGGTGAGTAGCATCTGGGGTCTTAAAAGCCTGTGAGCAGCCATCTAAGATACTCCACTGGTTCACCCCTTCGGGAGCAACGGAGAATGAAGAAAACTAAAGACACAAGGG